CGCCGCAACGGGTTGCAAAGGAGATCACAACGCGAAGCACTTGTCGCTTGGTTTGCCGTCGCTATCCGACACAACGAATCAATCGGGAGCAGCAAGGGAAGCCATACGAGACGCAAAAAACYACAACAGACAACCGAGACAGGCAACCAACCCACTTGTTGTTCCGYAGAGCAGCCGAGCWATCCGTGATGGCATCCACAGCTGCCGYCGGTGTTCCATCGTCCTCGTCGGCGGCGACGCCTGTCTCGTCGTCGGGGGACGCCGCGGCTTCCTCCGCCGCGGGCCTCTCGGYGGGTGCTTCCRCCGTTCCGGATTCGGTKGCCGCCGTGTTCCAGAAAACAAGGCACGTGTCCATCTGGGACGAGGACGGGCCCGGTGTGGATGCCTGGATCGGCAAGATCCCCGGACCCTTTCGGAGCGTTGGCACCAAGGGCGAAACCCCCGGCGGGCCGGACCAAGGTGCGTACTCTCTCACCGACCGTTGTTGGGAACGCTGATGCTGYAGGGCGCTTTCGGGAGCACAGGGCGTCGCATTTGGTGTGTTTGATCGAATTGGATCGTTWCGTGTCGTTTCTTGYCTTGTCGTGTTACAACGGATGCTGGTGGTGGCAGCGCCGCATCGGTTGGATCGAAAACAAAACAGAATCCGACGGGTTCGGATCGTGTCGGGCGTGTGCRCGTTAGGATCCTTGAGGTATCGKTTTCGATTTGGATGAAAGAAAATGAAACGGTGGCATCAAGAACGAGAAAAAAGAAAACAATCAAGCACGACGTCTAAACGGAATCGCGGTGTTTCTCTCTTCTTTTTGTGATCATTTCTATTTCTTTATTTCACCCATCCGACGGAAATCTGATACCATTGCTTGATGCATGTTAYATCTAATTGTCGATCACCATGGACTTTACCATCCGCGCATCGGAATATACCAAACGATGCCGATGGTTATGAAAAACACGGCATACAGCCACGAGCAATGCATCGTCTACGGTGAACAAAACATCCCTGAGTCCCGAAGTTACCAAACAGACCTGGAGCAATCTAAGGAGAGGTGTTGATCAGTTGGGGATCACCCTTCGGAAGAAGGAGGAGGGCACGGACGGCCATGCCAACGACGATGGCCCCCCTCTTGCGAAACGACAGAAGAGAAGCGCAGACGACGCAACCACGGGGAAAGCTACGACCGGCGACAAGAAGAAACCGAAAGAAATGTACTCCGTTGTGGATCCATACAATCTATACCGGCACACGATGCGGGTAGTCGGGGAYGGCGAGGAAAACGAAGACGACGAAGACCTACTGGAAATAGAGGACGATGCGGCCCGAGATCTCAAGACGACGATTGGGGGTAAATTTACTCAGCTCACTATTTCGGGGCTCATCAACGGCTTGGCCGGGCATCTTGGTGGAATCGTCAACAGAAAAGAACAACCACTCCCAAACGTGGATGCCACGCTTCTGAACGCCATTCCCACCGCTGGTGGTGCTTCACTGGCGGTCCTCCGACAGCTAGCGCACAGCTTGTCCCACTCGATTCAGACCCAGATCGAGGCGGACGTGCTGATTACAACCCCGCTGAGGATCAAAGACATGCTGGCAAAGGATGCGACTGCCGTGGAATTCAAAAACTACCAGAAACGAGTGTACGACACCGTGGTCTTGGGGAACGGGTTGTCACAGCCAGAAGAGATCGATATCCCCACCGCGGCTGCTAATTCACAGGGAGTGCACGTGCTCGAAAAATTCAAAAAATGTGCTTCCTGCGGCAACACGGACCAATCCCTCTTTGTCTTGGATCGAAAAAACGGAGATATTATCTGCAGCGCTTGTGGGACGGTCAACAGCGAATCTCTCATGCACGAAGGGTCGCAGTTTCGAAAGTTCGAGGGCGAGGTCGATCGAAACCACCACGGTGACACACAGAATCCACTCTATTCGAACGCTCACAACATGTCGACCACTCTGGGTGGAGTGCAGGTGAACACCGGTGCAGGAGTGGGAGGATTTGGTAGCCAGAGAGGACGGAACCTCGAAACGATTCTGAGGAACGCTCACGCGTACACGGAACTGAACATTTCGCAATTTGGCAAGGAGGATCGCCGCACCCGACAAGGATACAAAGACAAGAARAAGAAGGACGCGTTCATTCAGATGGCGAACGTAGGAGATGCCCTGAACCTGCACGAGGCTGTCATCCAGAGGGCGAAAGAATTGTACGCTTGCTTTCGCGAGGATCGTGAACTGCTCCAGCACGAAAAGGGCATCATTGCGGCATGTTTGTGCATAGCCTTTGACCAAATGTCTAAGGACGGCCAGAACATTTTGAAGCAAAAGCAACTCACCATTGCCGAGACTTCGTACAACAATCCGAGGGCGAGTCGACGGAACAAGCTTCACCATACGAAGCTGGCCGGAAAGGGTGGGCTTCTTTTGGACATGGATTCCATAGCAAAGGAAAAGGGCACGGGCAAGAAGGAGTCCTCGTTGGCAAAGAAGACGATTTCTTCGTGGACCTTGGAAGATTGCAGATCGTGGCTGATGGAAGCATCAAAATCCATCGCACAAGAATGGGTCGAAGGACGAAAAAACGGGGAAAAGAATATCCCGCCGGGATCGATGCAGGAACTGGAGGGAAAGCTGGTCTTGAATTCCATCGCGCTGTGCAACACGCTGGAGAACGAGCTCAACAGAGCCAACAATGGTACCGCTTCTGCCAGGGGCGGGCGTGGGCGTGTGGTCACTCCGAGGGTAAMCGACATGACCAAACTCGGCATCAAATGGCAACATTCACACGAGCGTGGATCCGGGGGAAAGGGTGGAGTAGGCGGGAGCGGAAACAGGAGCCCGCAAGGCACGAATAGTAGGCGCACGGCGGGGCAGGTGCTGATTCTGAAAACGGCSAAAAAGCTTGGCCAGATTGTCCAGGACAAGACCGCGGGCGAAGCGATTCACAAAGAGTTGCGTTCTTTGGTGAACAAGCAGCAGGCCCTCAAAAGGCAAGAACTGAGAAACGAAGCCACACGGCAGCGACTGGTGCAAATGAAACGGAAACCATGGCTACAAGCCCGTGCCCAAATCGATTGATTGGTGAAAACAACAATCATACCGTCGCATTGCTTTGCTGCAGGCTGCTGAACCAGGTCACTCCGTACTATTTTTTGTGACCACATCGCCGGATCATTGGCTGCGATGCAACTAGGAGACCATTTGAAATCCAAGGTATCAGCTTCAGCTTCAGCCTCAACAACTTAGATTCCTTGATAGCCAACAARTATTTGCTACGTTTTTAGTTCTCGTAGTTTCTTAGATTATCCAGTTCGTAGATTTTTGGTAGATTTGACTTTTAATAAAAGATTACTTAATATCTTTTTCGCCTCGGAKTAATGGATCTTATTTTCGAAATTTTATAACAAACGTTTTCAGTAACATCACGTTGACGTAGACTTCGAAGCAAGAAATTTTTCGTCCCATTCTCGATAGGAATCATCATCCTTCCCTGACCCCAGTCCTTCTTGTTTTCGTCTACTTTCTAACAGTTTTTTGTCCCAATCTTCCAACATCGAGGCCTCTTCTTTCGAAGAAAAYAATTCCAAACCCTCCGAAGAATTTTCCCCACTCGCTTCGCTTTTTTGTGCCTCTGCCTTTTTTTCCAAGAATGTTTTCGTTATATCACCAACTTCATAATTTTCCTTTCCTGTCCATTTAGAGAGCGCTCGTTTCGTAAGATCTCCAGTTTGATAATTCCGATCTCCCGTGACAAACTCCTTCATGCGGCCGTCGATCTCATTGGCGATTGAAGAAACTACCCTTTGGCTCACACTTTGGGCAATGCTAGCTTCTACGGTCAAGTTTAACAGTTCAGTCAACACCTTGAGTGGCAATACGCTTGTAACCGGTTGCATATTGATCCCGATAGTGGCAACGATCTTGAGGAACAGAAATAAATCGTCCCGGCTGTACTCGCCACTCACCAAACGGCGAATCACCTCTTTGCTCAGATCGCCAAACTGATAATTCTCCTTGTTTGTGAATTTTGAAACCTGTTCCTTTGCCTTTTTGTCGGCCCAACGAGAAATGTCACCAAATTTGTATGACGACGACGATTCTTTCGCTTTGTTYAACRCGCCACGAGTCAAATCTCCAAAGCGGTAACCACTTTTTGAGTCCGACGATTCGRCATCACTTCCTCTGACTTTTTTTAGTACGCCGCGAGTCAAATCTCCAAAACGATACCCATCTTTCGAACCGTCTRCTTCTTTTGATAGAAATAATATGGAGTTTCTTGCYTTCGTATTCGCAGTAGGAATAGCGACGAACGCATCAGAAAAAAGTATCGCAATGCAGCTGATTATAATCAGGACCTCAAAAATACCATTCGACACCATCTTCCTTTCTATCGCTTGCGTTTCATCTATTTGTAACTATTCTTGTTCTTTGTTTCTGAGACGATCTAGATTTTTCTCTTTCTTCGGGGATAGTTTACGGTGTTCTTAGTTCTTCTGGAGGAGTGACACTTTTTCCTGTTCGAAATACAAAAGTGAACTCGCAGGACGAATCTGTTGTGACAACTGACAAGTTGAGGTCGAATTGAATCGTCAAAAAGATCGTTTCAATTTAGGTGCTAAAGGAATTTGTTTAATTCGAATAKTTTTCGATTTTGCAGTATGTGCTRTATCTWSTTGTAAAAACAAAATGAGCCAGACCCACTTTGATGACACCACGCAAGCATACCGGTACTCGTACACGTAAAAAAGTAACCGTTTGCGCGAGGCGGGCACGACAATCTGTCTGATCGATTACAGTATTTACTGTATTTCTCTCTAAGAACTCTGTTGCCATTGTCACCACAAAATACTAATATTCAAAATTTGAGCCCAACCTTTTTGAAGTCAAATAGAACAAGCATCATGAGCATGAACTYTTTGGTCAAAGATGCAACGGCCGTTGATAGTGCCGGCGGCGACGATGATTTTTTCGAAAGCCTCAGAAAACAGCAATCCAAAAACGATGGGGTCAAGGAAGAAAAGCGACAGCAAATGAACAATATCGTGGACAACACACCAATCACAATGGTTCTTGACACAGAATATGACCAACATAGTGATATTCCTGAGCTTATTGAAAATATCAGTCCTACTTCGGTTGACGCATCTATTTCTACATCGATAAGTATCGACGAGTACACGAGCAAAGATAGCACACGATGTGTCAATGAAACAATGGATTCAAAGATAAGSGAYGAAAAGAKGTATCATAAGACAAATTTGCTCTCGAGYATTATTCTAATCGTCTTACTTGCTCTAAGTATGGTTGACTTGAATAATGTTGACTGGCTCTCCGACGAACCCCGAATTTCAAAACCGATAGGGATTACGAGCAAGATCACTACCGGAAACATCTCTGAACGGTTCGAAATTCCGGTTCGAAAACAATCTCAAAAAGAAATTAGACAAGATTCGACCCAATTGCAAGAGCAGAAAGGAACCCAGGGTGAAGAAAWGAAGAAAAAAGAGAGCGCCATTCTGCCCCATCACCTCAATCTCTCGGCAGCGACCGAAAGTCAGAGCTCTGGAAACCAAGGTGGTTTCTTGGTTGCTCAAATTCAACAACGGGAGCATCAAGAAATACATGACCAGCAGCATAAACTCAAGRCTCAAAGTCAGGAGGATTTYGGAGTGCAACAGCAGAACAATKCCTCTAATAAAAAAGGACACGACGAACTCCGAGATGACTTTCATACGGACCGCAAACACAACGAAAMAGAAAGTGCGGAATCTAAACAAAATAGAGAAACTCACAGTCACGTCATTTATGAAGCAGGATTGACGGGTGAAGACAAAGGGGYCTCTACCTCGTCCGAAAAAACTAACGCAGACTTCAAATCTGACAGAGTAATCATAGAAGATATTTCCAAACCACCTCAACAAGATTGCCCCGAAGCGAACGACACTCACGGGAATTTTAATCTTCGGGAACGATTCCTTCGACTTACCTATGCATTGCGATCAAATCRAATTAAGTGTCAGTTTGAAGTCCTCAAGTCCATGAAGTGGGTTGTATCTGTGGTTAAATATACAACAGTGCGAATAATAAGTGTCAGCAAAGACTTTGCTCGACGTTTGAACCACACAATACAAGACCTGAAATCGACCGTTGATCGATTTCAAGCGAAGAGTTGCGTTGATGGACAAAAATCGGTGAAACAGTTGATGGACGGGATTGCACGATTTGCCGCTCATGCGAACGACGTAACGAAAGTTTTGGCATCAACAAAGAACCAGATTCAAGCAAAAAGTCACAAGCTAGAAGGAGGAGAGGAATCAATGAAACACGTTCGCACTTTCATCTGGAAACGAGCATCAAGGATTATGTCTCGCAAACTTGAAGTATCGATGATGCCAAGAGTCGACATCTACAACTCGAATAGAAATAGTTARTTTATTGCTCGCATATACAATGCGCTGATCATAATAAATTTTGGGGTTACTTAATTAAACTARATGGGAGTTTCATAACGATAATTAAATTTTTCAAAATGTCCAAAGATTGGGAGAATGTACTGTAAAAGCTACTCAGAATGACGATTTTTGGAATCATCARCTCCGTTGGTGTTATTGTTATCACCGTTAGAAGTGGTCGGTATTGATGCAGACCGGAAAAATTGATCCACAGTTTCATTGAAGAGCTTGTCTTCGTCGCTTTGTGGTGRGCCCTCTGGCACGGTAGTATTTGGATCCTCTATCGACGGMTTGGAAAGAGGTACATCCCGATAGCTAGCGGAAACCCATTGATCGATCGAGTCTTCGAACGATGTCGATTCATCGTTCCCAGCAGAAGATCCGGGGCTGACTTTGGCGGGACTCTTTGTTCGGTTCTCGGGACTTGTCGCGGGGTCGTTGGGACACTCGTASGCCCAGTGGCCGGTCTGGCCACACTTGTAGCACTTGGAGTTGGCCTTTCTCGATGCCCTTTGTTTCTTTTTCAGTCGTCGGAGTTTTTGGCGGCYGGRACGTTTCGGGCGCGGGCTCTCGGTGTTGTTGTCGTCGCTGCCYATGGCATTTCCTTTTGGTTGCGTCGTATACGACTTGCTCCGGTAGCTGCTCTTCGCTCCGTAGTTGTTTCGGGCGGGTGGCGGAAAGGAGAATTCCGTTGGATCCGGCCTCGGCAAGACCTTTCGCAGTTCTTGCGACAATTCTTTATAGTCCAGCTGGTTGTAGTGTCCCAGGAACGCCGTAAGACTGGACAAATCCGAGGTGGTGAARTTCCGTCCRTAGCAGTACGGCCCCCCCCGAACGTTGTTGACCCCGTGCTCGATCATGGTTTCGGCCGTCTTTTGCGACTCCATCCCCATCAGGTACCGGCTGGGAATGCGTTTGTACTCCGCGACGACCCGGATGGGCCTGTGCATCCGGGTCCACTTGCTCCCCCCCCGCGAGAACTCGAAGTGCTCCCGGTAGCGTCGCTTCCGGTTGTTGGTCGATCCCACGTAGTACTTGTCGTTCTCGCATTCCAATACGTACACCGTATTGCGATAGAAMAGGTACCTGATTTTTTGTTTGAGGCCCCGATACCGGTAAATTGCCGATTTCAGAAACGAGGGATAGTCTCGGCCCGCGCCTTGGTATTTTTTCTTCTTCCACGCGTGCCGGGCTTCGGTTTTGCTGGGGTTCGTGTCGAACCCCGATTCCAGTTTCTTGACGTCTTTCCTCAACATTCCTCCCCTCCTGTTTCCATAGCGCCCGGTGTTGCTGCTTCCATCGTTTTCGTTGCGGTCGCCGTCGCTGTCRCCACCCTCCCCTCCCATGCTCCTACCGAACAGATTCAGCTCCGAAGGAGATCGGCGGGAACGGACATGACCCGACCGTATAATTTCATGGCGCTGCGGTGCCGACGACAAACCCTGCACAGTGATCGTTGTCGACGTTGTCAGCAACAGCAGCAACTTCAGCGCAAAATACGCCATTGCATGTATTGACTATGGTAGCTCTCCTTGTTCTCGATGATATCTGTGACGATTTCGGGTACTCGTGTGCCTTTCACCACACAGAACATGCATCGACAACGAGAACAAATGTCATGAAGTGGTAGGACGTGGTTCTCGAAGAAGCTATTTCTTACCAACATTGATTTTCCTTAACGTACGAGTACGTACCGTCCGTACGCAAACAAGTACGATGTAATAGTACTGTAGTCGTCTATCGTACTTGTACAGTTTGTACGAGCAATTGTAAGCTCACACGGCTCTCGTAGTACCGTACCGGCCGGTACTATTCGTACGAGTGGAAAGGTTTCGTGCCGATAGAGCAGAGCTCTCACAATTCGTTCTCGAGATTGGTGTCCAATTTCTTTCCGCGTCAGCTCAACTCAGAATTTTTCTTTGAACTTTTGTGACTCCGGAGTATTCGGGTTTGATTAAGTCGACCGAGTCGACTATCTCAACGGTAATTTTAAGTCGATTCGAAAACAGAAAATCGACATCACCAAGAAAACCTGAACCCTAGTCTGGTACGTAGCTACGTACGTATTCGTACCTACTGTACTGTAATTCGTACCTACTGTACGAGTACTGTAAGATCCAAACAATTGCTCGAACTTAAAAATTTGGTTTCCAACCGACGGAGCGAAAAAGTCTGAAAACGAAAGGGTCCGATCCAGTCCACGGGTTCATCTCCGCTTCTACCGTAACACGCGAAAAACCCTTTCGGCGCTTCGACAGGCATCGAGTTGAGAGAGACGTAAACCGCAATCAAGCCGTCCAGCAGAGCCATATAGTACCAGCTAGTAGCAGTCCTTTCCTGCCAGTGATCCATAGCTTTCCGGTGTGACAATGACAGGAACCGAAAATTCTTCGCAGCAAGAAAAATGGATCTTTTCGCTGGCCCTTCCATCGACGATCGATTCGAATCGGGTGACGGGTGAATTCGACACCGGRCAGCCGCAGCGATGTGTGGAATTGATCTCGATCCAAAACGATTCGGGACCGGTCGGTGCAAATTTCCAGAGCGTTGAAACCAAGAACGAACGAGACGACCAACAATCTTCTTCGACGGAGGCAGCTGCCGGGGAAACAGCCAAGGATWGCGAAATAAAATCGCTTCTGGACGACGAGTTCGAAGATYCCCACGATAGGAAATTACCACGGGCCAAAGGCAACGAAGACGACAATRTCTATTTCGAYGGTGCCAGAAGCAGCAGCTGCTGGAAATTCTACAGCTCTGTTCACGGTTTGGCACTTCAGTCATCAACTTTGTTGCGGCTRTCGTACAGACCAGCCTGGCAGAGCATCCCCGAATTCACGAACAACAAGCGGAAACGGGCGATTTACAACGCCTTGATGTCCTGTTGTCAGTGCCCCGAGGGGCTAGAGGAAGAACAAATCTGGGAGGTGTACTCCACGGAAGATATTCACAAAACAGAAAAGCTCAAAACCACCATTCGTGGCATTGGAAGCTGCCAGGCCATCCGGATCTATTTGAAGCCCCTCGGCGATACAGATTTAGATGCCATGGTTACGCCCAGAAAATTCCAAACTTCCCTTGACCTGCATCGGCAACGTATGAACGGACAGCAGGAGSGTTCTTGGTCGCGGTTTACMGAACCCGTGGACAACCTGCCCGACGGCAACGAATTTATCGTTCTGACCTTTGCCGTACCATTGGATTCGAACGTGTGTGGCCACAACCACGATCCGCCGTTGCTCTGGAAGGTAGATGTGCCGCCTCATTGGTCGGGAAATTCCATGACGCTAGATACCATCACCGTCTTGGACGGATCTGTCGACTTGTCGGAACCCGCTACAGCTGTATACGTGGAAGGATACCAGAGCTGGTCGTTCTCTGGATCGRTSTGGAAAGGAGATCCCCAGCCGACTTCGGCCATGCCAAACGTGTTTTCTAGGGCATTCAATCTCGGTGGATGCCTTCCCATGCCTCCAACCACCTTGTTGCCTGCGTCGGGTTGGCAAACGAATGTTTGCAACCCYGAGCTGTTCGAATCGTCGTCATCGCCACCTAAAAAACCCAAGAAGCACCGCTATAAATCGGACTTTTTTGCTTGCGTCACGACCGCACGGGACGGAATCATGGACGAGCACGGTGGACCCGCGCTCGTTTGTGGATGGTTGTCCCAGCACAAGCAGTTTGGTGTCGTTTCGATCGACGATCGGCTGAAAAACGTCACTATGCACGCGGCACACGACGCAATGGTGAATTCCCGGGTGAGCACCGACTGGGCGTACGCCCAACTAATTACACCACACCGGTATGACGAGGAACCCATGGTGCATTACCTGCATGCTGCCGCTGCCCACAACCAGGCGAAGCCACTGCAAAACGGACCTCTTCTCACGGGGTGGTGCAGCTGGTACCATTATTACGAAAACATCACGGAAGAAAACCTAAGGTCGAACTTCAATAGGCTATCTACGATGAAACATCAAGTTCCTACAAACATGGCAATGGTTGATGATGGATACATGACGGCTTGGGGAGACTGGGATTCTCTCAAGCCAGGAAAATTCACCACCATGGACGTCGTTGCCGGCGACATTGCTTCCTCCGGAATGAAACCAGGACTGTGGATGGCACCCTTTACCGCCGACAAGCATTCAAAAATTGCAAAGGATCACCCAGAGTGGATCATCAAAAACGATAAAGGTTATCCCGCAAATTCATCCAATTGTGGTAAATTCTTTTATGGATTGGACGCTACCAATCCTCAAGTTCGAGCACACGTGTCTAGGTCTATTCGCAGAGCCGTCGAGGACTGGGGCTTTAGGGTGCTGAAAATTGACTTTTTGTACGCAGCATGCCTGGAAGGCAATGGGAAATACGATATGTCCATGACACGAGCCGAAGCTATGCATCTGGCATTGCAGACGATTCGAGAGGCAGCGGGTCCGGACGTCTTTCTGATTGGTTGCGGCTGCCCAATGGCTTCTGGTATCGGGTATATTGACGGCATGCGCGTCTCGGCCGATACCGGACCAACATGGTATCCCGAGCTGCCCCTGCCGTGGTGGGACAACGGGACGCTGCCTTCCTTGAGGGGGATGATTCGCAACAGCTTGAGTCGAGCACCAATGGGTCACAGGTGGTGGCAAAACGATCCCGATTGCCTGTTGCTTGGAGACAGCACCAAACTCACGAACGCAGAAGTGGCGAGTGCTGCGTCGATCATTGCTATGACATGTGGAATGTTGCTTGTGTCRGACGACCTCACGAAGGTCAGCCCCGACCGCATGAAAATCCTGAGTCGAATATTCCCTATGACGGGAGTTTCCGGAGTCGTTTTGGATCTTCACACGACAAAAGACAAGGGAATGCCCTCGTTGATTCGCCTTTGGTGCACAGATAGATACCGAAACCTCGAAAGGTACCGTTCCTCCGAAAGTTTCCGTCTCAGCATGCGAGAAGGAGATTTCAGCGCAGAAGCAACCTATTTTGGACAACAAAGTGCCTTTGTGCAGAATAAATCCTTCGATGCTCGCGAACGGTCTCGAAGTTGCATCCATGTTGCGAAAGGTATGGGAACTTGGWCAGTGATTTCTCTATCGAACTGGTCGGATCAACCTAGATATATGCACATTCCCCGCCTGGCAATATGCTCGCCTTCCGAGACAGGATGGGGAGCTCGCGACGACGCCGATACTCTCAAATGCACCGAGAATACGGGGGGCTACCACGTCTTCTCGGCCTGGTCCGGACGGTATAAGTACTTGTCGTTGAAGGATAGCAAAAGCGGCAACGATCCCCACCCTATCACCCGGCACTTGCTCGCCCACGAGACCGAAATTTTTCACATTCGAAAAGTAACGCCATCGAAGCCACAATACGTCGGGAGTGACATCCATTTTTCTTGTGGTCACGAAGTCTTGTCGTTCGAAACATCGTCTTCCTCCTCCGAAGAGAACAGAGTAACGATTCGGCTCAAGACAGAGTTGAAGCGCRCCGGTCACGTTTATTTGTTTCTTCCCGTCGTCGACACRAGCCACGTGAAGGTCTCAATGGCTGGCAAGGCGACTCGCTGGAATGTCATTTGCAATGTTCCCGACGACCAAGAGGGTCTGGTTTCCCATTGCTGCGGCCGTGTCGTTCGAGTCATGGTCGTTGTTGACGCCGATCAATCCGAAAACGACGGGAAAATAGTGATAGATTACTGAACGAAGAATAAGTTGCATCGATAAGATAAGGATAGACTTTCAGATAGAATTGTTTGTCGGTACTATTTCAATATAATCTCATCATTGTCTAGCCTCAARCTAGAATAAAATTCATTCTAGTTAATGCAYAACTTCTACCATTCCAGAAAGGCTAGTCGAGTAGAACAGCCTCCGCCAAGCCCTGGACATAATCGGGCAGTTCAAATTGTTCGTCTTCGTTGACCTCGATTGCCACTGGTTCGTCTTCTTCGTATCCAGCCTCGATCATTTCAGCCTCCGCGAATTCTCCGACTTGTTCGTCTTCTTCGATCAGTTCGTAAGTGAGTACTGACTCTTGTTCGTCTTCGTGTCCAGCCTCGCTTCCATCGTCAATGAGTTCGTCATTTTCGTGTCCAACCTCGCTCGCCTCGTCAATAAGTTGTCCCTCTTGTTCGTCTTGGTTGTGTTGAGCGACGTGCTCGTCKTCTTCACCAGGCAACCGCTGGTCGTTGGTTTCGTCGGAACAACCGAGAGCAGAGCATACAAGGTAGCTCGCCAGCAGCAAAAAGGAGCATACCGGGGTCGCCGCCATGAAGAAAGGGTCTGGTTGAATGCGATGGAAGTGGACAGATTCAAACATGTTTCAGCATCTGAATGAAACAATTCATTATGAGAGCAGTCTGCACAGTCTGTAACAGAGCTATGGTGATATCTTTTTCGGAATTTTCGAGCCGAGAACCGTATTTTGTTTTGCAAAACTCTGAAATTTTGTTATGCAAAACTCTTAAACGCACACCACCAATACACGACGCCCTAATCGTGTCGTGTTTTAGGACCTTTTTGTAACGTACCTTTGATACATGGGCAGTGTATGTTCTAGTCGTGARATAGATCTAAGGTTGCAATTCAGATTTGACTACTAGGACTTAGTGATAGMAGGAAAGCTGCTCGTACTTTACCGTACGGTTCGTACCCGTACGGTAGGTCTCCGAAAAATTTTTTTTTGCTCTGGCATGACATCGGAATCACCCAATGTTCTACAGGTACAGTACTCGTAGTACGGTACCGTGCAAAACAGACTCTAAAAAACCCATCGCCATCTCGATCTCGGGCAGTCACCACTGTTGACCTACCCTACCGTACGTAGCACATCCACAAGCACTGCGATGACGTCCAAACCGAGCACGAAACGCAAGCAGCGYTCCGACAGAAGGATTGCAAAACCACGRAAGAGAGCMGCCGATCCAAAGCKGCAAAACGAAGGGCGTTCCAAAACCGGAGAAGACGACACAGACACCAACGAGGACGACAGGCTTCTCGAAATGACCTGCCGAGAGGCCAGAGACGCCGGCCGGAAGCAGAGCCGTTCTCGGGGTGGCGTCCTGCTCGGGATCGGGGCCGTGGCGGTGTGTCTTTCCGCCGCGCTTCCGGACAGCGGTGGGGGGTGGTTCGCTCCCTTTTCGGCGGTGTTCCGCGCAGCCGCGGCGGGGGCCCCTTCGACGACGACGACGACGACGACAATGCCTGTGTCGGAACAAGGAGCCCCCCCCGAGGGACGGGCGACCCTCGATGCCGGCTGGGAGCTGCTGGAAACCTATGCACACGATCCCTCCTCGTTCACGCAGGGGCTCGAGGTCCACCGGGCAGCACCGAASGCGGGAGAGGGAAGCTGCGAAGCAGAAGGAGGTGCCAACACCTGCGCACCGGTGTCGTTTTCCTCTTCCTCCGGGGAGGGATCTTCGGGGGAAGACGGGGGCCGGTGGCTGGTCACGGAGTCCACGGGCATGTACGGGGACTCCCTGGTGCGGACCTGGGACCTGGCCTCGGGGGAAGTGGTGCGCGAAACCAAGATGGAGGACCGGTTCTTCGGAGAGGGATCGACGCGCTACACCGACGACGACGGCCGGGAACTCCTCGCCGTTCTGACCTATAAGGAACAATCGATCGTCGTCTACGACGCAAACACGCTCGAGCGGGTCGAGACCTTGTCTCCGTGGCCCTYGCCGACCACCACCACGGAGGGATGGGGAATCGCCTTTGATCCCCTGGAACGAATCTTTGTGGTCACGGACGGATCGGCGATGCTCCACTTTTGGGACCTCGGGTTCGAGGCGATCCCCTCCAGGCCTCCGATCCCCGTSCGCCTGGAGGAGCTGGTCGACGAGCGGGACAGGGTGCTGGTGGCGCGGAAACCGGCCGAGGCCCGAGGGGAGGACGGAGGCGAAACCGCCGGGAGCGAGGAAGAGGCGGTGGAGGGAACCCTGCTGGGCCACATCAACGAGCTGGAATGGGATCCGCACACCCGGACCCTCCTGGCCAACAAGTGGTTCGAGGACGTCGTCCTGCGGATCGATCCCTCCAACGGGCTGGTGACGAGGGTCTACGATTTCACGAGGCTCCGTCCCCGGCAGAACCGTTCCAGGGGCGAGGACGTCTTCAACGGGATCGCGATCCTTCCGTCGACGGAAGGGAAGGAGTGGCTCGTCACGGGAAAATACTGGCCCGAGGTCTACCGGATCAGGATCGCGGAGTGACCGAAACGAGCCGTCCGGCTTGTGAGGAAAGCAAAAAGCGCCGGTAGGCAATGTAAAACTAGTGTCGGTTTTTCAATTTTTTTAATTTTGTCACAATTTTTGGGAGCAGGCAGTGCCGTGTTCCGACGGCAATCCATGCGGGGCATAAACGTTCCAAAACACCGGCAGCATCCCAACAGGAAAGACCCCGCCAAGGGGCGCTGGAGGGAGCGCAWTYGCTCTGTTCCATCGCACGCCTTKYTACATATCGGCAGAACTCCAGCGATAGGCCTTTTCCGCCTTTCGGCCCGCGCTGAACCTCTTGGCCAGGATCTTGTCCTCGAAGCCGTTCCCCCGGTCCACCCCGTCCCAGCGGTACCCCGGGGGGATCCCGAACCGGTTGGCCCGGGGGGCCGGGCCCTTGTAGACCGGCTTGGGGGGGGCGGACCCKCCATCGCCGCCGCGGCGGTTTTGCCGCTGCCTCTTGCGCGCGTGCTCCGCCATCGGATCGTCCTCCCGGATGGCGCTCCGGCGGATCGCCTCGAGGCGGTCGTCGTCCTCCCCCCGGGCAAACCCCGACCCCGCGAGGGCGGCGAGCTCCGAGGCCCTGGCTTCCTCCGCCCGCTGCTGGACCCTGCCGCGGTTGAGCCTCCGCCTTCCTTCCTCCGCGTTGGCGGCCTCCGCCACCGGGTCCGCTCCGGCGGTGGTGGGCCGGCCGTCTTTCCCGCGGTAGACGGTCTCCCCCGTCCCGTGCCTGTCGACCATCTCCAGGGCGTCCCGGTGCTTCCGGGCCGCGAGCTTTTGTTCCGATCGGGCAAAGTCCCCGGCGTTCTGCAGGCCGGCCCTGTGCCCCGAGGACATGCGCGGCCCGCCGCCGCTCGCGGACGACGCATCGGAATCGCAGCGCCTCCGCCGGTCTCCGCGGCTGCTGCTGCTGCTGCTGCTGCTGTCCGAGCCGCGGCGCCTCCTCGGGGGCCGCCCGCGGCTCCCCCCGCCGGATTCGGCGTCGCTCTCGTCCGAGTCGTATCGCCGCCGGTGCCTCCTTCCCCGCCCCGCAACCGAGCCGGAATCGCTCCCGCCGTCGGAGGAACCCCGGGCATCCGGGGGTGGGCCCCCGCCTTCCTCCTCCGAGGACGARTCGTGCCGCTGCCGGCGACGCTTGCGGTTTTGGCCGTTGTCTTCCTCCTCATCCGAAGACGAATCGTGCCGCCTCCGTCGCTGCCGGCCCTCGTTTCCGTCTTCCTCCTCCGAGGACGAATCGTGCCGTTGCCGCCGTCGCTGTGGCGGGTCCTGCTGSTCCTTCTGGTGGTCGGAGGGGCTGCTCGAGGAGGGTCTCTCGTCTGCACTCTTTTGGGTTTCCCGGCTCCCGTAGACCGAAACCGTCTTCCAGACCCSCCGTGCACCGGAATCCGCCCCCCCACCGGCTTCCCCGCTGCCAGCCACATCCAGGGAGGCATCTCTCACCACCACGGGGCCATCGTCGTCGTCGTCGTCGTACGCATTTGGGTGTGCGCTGCCGTCGCTAATGTCCGAATCGCGGGCCCCACGGCGAAAGTAGTCGTCGTCGTCGTCCACGACGCTGGTGGAATGGTCCGCAACCCTGGATCGCCTCGGTGGCCCCGGATCGTTCCTATCCTTCTTCTTTTTCTTCTTCTTCACCTTCTTTGGTGCCTTCCGGTCCCCGCCCGCATCCGGCGCCGAGGTATACTTCGAGAGGTAGTCCAGCTTGCTTGGCATGGTGCCGATAGAATTGGAGCTCGTTGCGTGCCGTAGAGGACTCCGAAGTTCTCCCGCCGTGCTTTGATTTTTGATGGCCGTGGAGGCTTTCGAACGCTGTACCGTGCGTCGAATGGGAGTCGGTCGAACGTACTGTACTCGTCCCTCGCGAGTATCAATCGAAAGGATCGAACTGAAACAGATTGGGTGAGTTGTTGCCAAGGTTGGTTCTGTTTTTGTTTTGTTTGTTTTGTTGATGTTCGAGCTTTTCTGTTTTGATGAGACGCTCGTAACTCGTAACACCGCCGGCTGCCAGACCGCAGATGGCTTTACAGTAGGAGCACGAGTACAATCAACGAGTACGCACTAGTACGAGYACGCATCATATCGTAGATCGTACCGTACGTTTGTATGCACAATCTGTTCCGAGTTCCTACCCACTTAGATTAGATATGTTCGTACCTACAAAGGTATGTTCGTACCCAAGCAAATAACATGATGTACTTCCAATGAGTAAGGTAGTACAGTACGTACCGTACCGTACTATTTACTTTCTACGAAAGATTTCGTACGAAAGATTCTGTACGATAACTACCGGTACGTGTTTTCAATAAAGAGTGAGGTCACAGTTCACTCATCAGCTACTCGTGATTGACTCTCACAGGTCGTGGGTCCTGGGTCATGCGTACGAGTAAGTTCGTATCCAGATTCCAGATAGATATGTTCCTACCCAACTAGGTACGTTCATAGTTCATAGTTCATACCCAATCAGGTTTTGCTCATACGAACTACGAACTCACTGAGGTATGTTCATACCTAGACAGATATGTTCGCACTTCGCACGGAACTCCACGAGCCGGACGGAAACGGTTCTTACCTCCACGTGGAAATCCGGACAAGTTTGACCTTGCCTCGTGGATGGTGACTTCACGATGGGTTTCTACCGGTGTGAGACTAATAACTAGTCCTACGGTACGGTACCGTACGGTAGGATAGTAAAAGCTGACCGTTCCATGTATGGGATGGACTGCTAAACGTTCCACTAGTACTAGTACTACTAGTATCGTACTGTACGGTACTAACTCTGTCGATCGCAAGTGTAGCGTGTTGTTACGGGGTCTTTTCGCAACAAGCGCTGAACGCAATGGCTGGGCCCAATCACTCGAACCGATTCCATCCTATCTAAGCAGTTGCACAGCACCATACGCTACCGTGCGATACGGAAACAGGACCGAAGAAAGACACCCAAGAAGATCAAAGACTGCGGAGTCGTACGGCAGCACTACACTGCACCGCACTTCACTAGACTTTACTAGACCACACAAGACCAAACAACGCATACCACAACCACCACAAGGAAGACAAGATGACGAACATGATCAAGGACGTCTTCGACAAGCAGGTCCTGGAGCTCAAGAAGCTCTGGGCCAACAAGCGCCAGCTGCTCTTTCAATTGCTGAACCTGGCCATGATCGTCTTCTCGGCGCTGATGATCTGGAAGGCACTCATGTGCTACACAAAGGTGGGTTGGCTCTCGTTTTGTTTTGTTTCGTTTCGTTTCGATGGGACGCAATGCCGTGCCGTGCCGTGCCATGCGATGCAATGCCATGCCATGCATGCAGCGTGCCCTGTTTGCGGCCGGGGCCGAGCACCGTGCCGCCGGAAGAATTCCCTGTAGCAGCGCTTGTTTGTGGTCGCTGGTTGTGGTTGCCGACGATGGCGAGGGAGGAGGAAGACGATGCCCTGTTTGTGTTTTTTTTTTTTTGCCGCGTTCCAGTAGTTCTCACCCACCTCCAACTCGTTTGTTTCCGACCCGCGATTGATCCGTGCAACAATCGTTGTGCGTGGCAACGACTCAACGATTCCGTGCGCCATGCTATGCTATGCCACTGAACGAACCGAATTCACGCAACCAACACAAAACAATACCAAACCAATACCAAACGCAACCAAAACGACGGGCACACCACCACACCACACCACTCAAACACCACCGTATTGTGCTACGAACCACCACGACGGCAGAGCGAGTCGCCGGTGGTGGTGGTCCTGTCGGGATCGATGGAGCCCGCCTTTCAGCGCGGGGACATTTTGTTCCTGAACAACAGCGTGGAGCAGGTCGGCGTCGGGGACGTGGTGGTCTTCAAGATCAAGGACCGCGACATCCCCATCGTCCACCGKATCCTCAAGGTCCACCAGGACGGCCCGGACGGCAGGGTGGAGCTGCTGACGAAGGGAGACAACAACCGGGTCGACGACCGCGGCCTGTACGCGCCGGGACAGCTGTGGCTGGAGCGGGAGGACATACTGGGCAAGGCGGTGGGAACCCTGCGGTACGTGGGCATGGTGACGATCGCCCTGAACGACTACCCCGTGCTCAAGTACGTTTTGGTGGGGATGATGGGGCTCTTTGTGCTGACGAGCAAGGAGGGATAGGAGACGCACCACGCCACGCCACAGCACAGCACRSCACATTGCACGCGYACCACACACAAACCAACCAAGAAAAACCGTATTATTTTTTGAAWCAGAACAGAATCGAACAACCGAATMCAATCCACTCTACTCCAAAATCCAATGGGACGGCACGGTCCGTGCCAACCAACGAGGAATGCAAACGAACACCGCGAACGATTGTCGAAACCTCCTTGGGTGTTGCGTCGCATTCCGTGCGTGTTATGTATGTATGTATGTATTGTTGTAGTATCGTATTGCTGTAGCACGGTCTTGCTGCCAGATCCCCGCCGCGTGTCTCGCCGCCGYCGGCGAAGCACGCGGCCGCGGAAGACTCTTGTGTGCCTTGGTTTGCCCGGTGCGGCCCCGCATCGCAGGCCGTGGCTCAGTCCACCAGCAACCGGTAGACGGCCATGCGCAGGAGGAGCTTCGACTCCGGGTCCAACCCGAAGCAAGCCCCGCTGTAGCGCGGGTGTCGCGGTCCTTGCTGCTGCTCTTGTTGTTGTTCTCGTTGTTTTTCTTGTTCTCGTTGCTGCCGTTCGTGCCAGTCCCGCTCCCGCTGCTTCCTCCTTGCAAGGCCCCGGACGGCCAGCCGGTAGTGCTCTCGGGGGAGCTCCGAGAGGGGCAGGGGCACCAGCAGGTCCCCCAGGAGCTCCTGCAGCGAGAGGAGCAAAAAGGTGCGGTGGGCCGCCTTTTCCCCGGAGGCACCAATCCCCCCGGAGGATTCTTTCCCCGCCTCCCAGCAGGCCCTGAGGAGTCCCATGGCCGAGGCGGCCAGGTGGTTCAGGAGCACCCTTGCCCGGGCGTTGCCGTCGCAGTGGCTTGCCCCCTTTTTTCCCGGCACCAGCACGACGGCGATCCTTTCGTGGTAGGCGTCCCGGACCAGCCCCCCGGCGACCCTAAAGACGTGCCCCACCAGGGCCGGGCTGATCCCCGCGATCTGTGGCACCATGGAGGCGTACACCGCAAAGGAGGCCTTGACGTGCATCGCCTTTGTGGCCCCCGGCCAGGCCAGGACCTTTTTCCCCGGGAAAGCGGCACCACCAAGGGGAGCGGAAGCCGAGACCACCCCTTCGCTTCGCGGTGGCTGTTCCAGCAGGGTCGAGCGGATCCATTCCCGCACAAGGGCCGCGGTTTCGATCGAGGAGGGGGCGTCCCTTCCGTTCCGGGCCCTTTCGTTCTTCCG